TATTTTTTTTTTTACAAAGAACTGTTCATATTTCAGTGCAGTGCAGTGCAGTGCAGTGAAGAACACCAAGTCTTAAGTCCATGCAAATCAAAGGCAACGTACTTAAACAGTAAAAAGCTGTAGAGACTGAAAGGGGTGTTTAGGTATTTTCAGGCTGAAACTCCTCAAATGCAATGTGGCAGTGGAAAGAATAAGAGGATAAGAAGGTATCTGAGAATAAAATCCATCTTGCTTGGCATCAAATATTCCTTAATGGGGGCTGTGCGTATATGGGTGCATGGATGACTTTTAGAGAGCTCGAGTAGGAATGCATCGGAAGAAGAATTTCTTCAGATATTTTATTTGTTTATGTATTTCTTAGATTTACATCCCGGCTTTTTGTTCAGGAGCTTTTAAAGCAGCAGACAAGCATTCCTTTTGCCCATTTTTCCTCACAGCAACAACCCTGTGAAGTAGGTTGGGCTGAGTGAGAGAGGGACTGATTCAGTCTGAGGTTTCTGCTGTGGCTGGGGACTTGAACCTGGGTCTCCCAGCACTTCAACCACTACATCACACTGGCTCTTGTAGCTAGCTTATTTTCCTTGCTTGCTTGCTTATTTATTTATTTATTTACACACACACACACACACATACACACACACCTGTAATTTATGCACTGCTTCAGTCCTAAGGGAGTCCAAGTGGTTAACATCAGAACTTTTGTCCCTCCCCCCACAAATAGTAGCACCATCTCACCATCATAATTTGTTGATGTCAAAAACCAGATATAGATGGTTTTTAGACATATCTCACTAGGGAGAGTATCCAAAGTGAGTGAACATTGAAAATGCCCACGCTTGGATCACTGCTGCTGCCCATCAAAGAAAGTCCTCCAAAGATGACCTTCGGATATGGGTAGGAACGTGGGAAGAGCTTTTCATTCAGATACTCTTGTCGCAAACCATGAACAGCTTTATGGGATAAAACCAGCACTTTCAGTTGGGGTCAGAAATTAAGTGGGTCGTAAAGAAGTGCCATGATGTGCTCGTATTACCCGGTTCCAAACAGTACTCTTGTACTAAATAAAGCATCCAAATTGTCTTCAAGGGCAGCCACAAGTAAAATACATTGGAGTAATTTAAGTGTGAAGTTAGTATGGCATGGTTTATGATTGTCCAAGTAGAACTGTAGCTGGTGCCAGCCTAAATTAGTGAATAGTGCTTTGCACCACAGGGACTGCAGGTGACTCTTGAAGGACCCCAAAACTATGAATCTGATCTTTTAGAGCAGTGTTTTTCAAACTTGGCAACTTCAAGATGTGTGGACTTCAACTCCCAGAACTCCCCAGCCAGCATGCTGGGTAGGGAATTCTGGGAGTTGAAGTCCACACATCTTGAAGTTGCCAAATTTGAAAAACACTGTTTTAGAGGGAATGAACCCCACTTCTCTAGGCAGATAACAGCACCTTTATCTTACCTGGATTGAGCTTCAGTGTGTTGGCCCTCATCCAGTCCAGGCCCTGCTCCCAGTTTTTCATTGCCTCTCCTTGATCAGATGAAAAGGAGAGAGAGTGTTGGGTATCATCAGCATTTTCCTTTAAATCTCCCAGTAATCTCACTCGGTGGTTTCCTGTAGATCTTGACATGGGGGATAAACCAGAATCTTGTGGAAGCCAACAATATAAGAGCTATGAGGCTGAGCAAAAATTCCCCAGCACAGCCTCCCCACTTGAAGGCTGTTTGACCCACACTTAACTGGACAATTTCTGGAGAAGGATACCATGTTTGATAGTATTGAAAAACTGCTCAGAGATTTGGGAGAATGAACTGGGTTGTGTTCTCCCTGTGTCTCTCCCAGCAAAGATCATCTAAGGGGGTGATCAGATCAGGTTTGGTACCAAGCAAGCCTCTATCCTAATAGGAATGGATGTACAGAATCCATTTTATTCAAGAATGTCTACACTTGATTAATCACTGATGTGGGTTTAGCTTTTTCTGAGTATCTTCTATATTAAACAAATGTGATTAAGGATATCTTAAAGGTTGCTGTGTGAAGAGAATAAAATCCCTAAATCAAAAAAAAAACCCCTCACCTTAGAGTGAGAATATCCTTCATTAGCTTTAGAAGGACAAGTAGTTTAAAAGGAAAAAAAAAAGATCAAAATATATTGTAAAATTTGTTAAAATACAGAAAGACAGAGTGAATTAAATTAATCCAGCCAAGATAAAAGATGTTGTCTTAGATTACTAACAGATGGCTCTGTGGTTTTTGGAGTGGATCAGAGTTATCTTACTTTCTAACATCAGCCTTTTTATATGCTTAAAGCAATGTTTTTCTTACTATGAAAGGAATCCAATTTTCCTAAGTTTAATCATTTATATTATTTCTTAAAAGGTTATTTTACAGGTAAAAGTGGGAAAAGCAGTAAAATATTCATTTGACCTATTTTCTATTCTCATCTATTTTTCGGTCCTTATAGGGGCAAACTGATGCTGTCTGTTTGTCTCTCTAAGTCAGGGTTTCTCAACCTTGGCAACTTTAAGAAGTGTGGACCTCAACTCCCAGAATTCCCCAGCCAGCATATGCTGGGAGTTGAAGTCCACACGTCTTAAAGTTGCCACGGTTGAGAAACCCTGCTCTAAGTGTAATGAGAGCCAGTGTGGTGTAATGGTGAAGGTGCTGGATTAGAAGCAGGGAGACCTAGGTTCTAGTCCTTCCTTAGACATGGAGGCCAGCTAGGTGACCGTGGGCCAGTCCTTCTCTCTCAGCCCTACACTGGGAAGTGGAAAAACGTATATTTACCAACCTGCACTGGAGCAGTGTGGTAGATTATGGTCCATAACCTTCCATGAAGATGCCTGCATCCTGTAATGGATTGATTCAGGCGGATAATAATTATATGCACACACAAACACTCTCTCTCTCTCACACACACACACACACACACACACAC